AAATAAAACTGCTTGCATGATTTTGTTGAAACCAAACTGTTCTAAATAATGTGTGAACTGAGTAATTTCGCACACCTGTGATGGAAATTCATGAAACCATGACCTTGAGTCTGCTTCTGGGTTGGTTTTTTTTCCACCTTAACTGAGAAGGTTCGGATACACAAAACACCAAAAACTATTTGAGTATTTCAGAGGGTCTTTAACAGCCAGGGACTATGAGCTAGAAATGCAAATGTTTCTTTTGAGTTCCAAAGGAAGCACAGTAAGAGTATGGACTTCTTGTGGATTTTGTGCTTGTCAAATTGGAGCTGCACACCAAAATACTGCAGTGTGTAAGAGCCCTGTATGGTAGGCATCCCAGTGAAGGAGAGAATCCTAAGGCCTCCCATAATTCAGATCAGCCAGACTGCATGTGGCAACCACATAGACAAGAAACCATGAAGGACGCAGAACTTCATGTGCAGCTTTTCATCAAATACATAAATGGCATAGCTTTATTATTTCCTCTTTTAAATTAGTGTAAAACATGTTCTAAGTGAGGCTCTGTCTTGCAAAGTACTACTGTTACTGACATAGAGGTTAGGCATCTGTACTCTTAAAAAAAATATTTGTTGCTTTTTCTCAGTGCTGTGTTAAACCTCTAAAGGGATACAAGAGTAGTTTTGACATAGTAGTAATTTTTGACATTCAGAACTCAAAACTCTTGTGTTAATAAATTAGAATACCCAGAAAAATAGAATAGAATCACAGACCAGCACAGGTTGGAAAGGACTTTGGAAGATCATCAGGCCCAACCTTTAACAGATATCTGTATGATGAATCTTAAAAATCAGTAGTCTAGCAGTGAGTGCTATCTTGCTTGTGTTCAATAAGGAAAGAATTTTTATTTTTGTTAAAGTATTTGAACAGCTGTTGCTGACTATTTTATTTGCTCTAAAAAGAAAGGGAGGATACTGTAATAGGACTGTGTTAGTTCTCTTGTATATTCATTAACTCCTTTCCTGGACACTGTCACACACGCACTGCAGAGCCCCCTGCTGTTAAGGGCCATCCAAAATATTTTTGTATGTTTTGCTATGCCTGAAACTTCTCAGTTAAAATGAAAAACAAAATCCTGAAATATTTTCCAGGTTCTCATTGCATGATTTAATCTCAATCCAGCAACAAATCTGGATGTTTTGCCTATATGAAACGCAACTGTGTTTTTGGCAACGGTCACGGTTTATAGAAAATATAAACTTGTCTTTGTGTATCTGTGGAGAAAGACCTCTGCTGGCAGCAGATCGATGTAGGCTGAAAGCAGTACACACAGCGAGAAGGTAAACAAAACTCACCCTCTGAGAGATCATTTAAATACTGACGAGAAAAGGAACATGGCAAGTTAGCCAATTCAGTTGCTCTGCACACAGCAGAAGCCATAACACAGGGATGGATGCTCACAAGTGCAGAATATCTTCTCACACTCTGTGTGGGAGCTGGACTTGAAGCATCAAATGGCTGTGGAGTCCATAGGCATGAATGCTAAGAATGAGAGAAAGAGTGGGAGAACAGAGAGGCCACAGAGCGCCGACATGAGCTGTTAGGAATGAGACTCAAGGAGGAGGGGTGGAAACAAATCAATAGGTCGTACTGTTCTAGGAAAGCATTCTGCACGTGACGAAATGTTTGGCTATTTATTCATCATACAATAATTGTTAGTAAGGATGGAGTGGCATGGCAAACTGAGAATCTTTAGGGGACTTTCTAGGGCATAAATGTAATTTAATTCTGGGAAATGACGTAGCAGAAGTCCAGCACTTTTCCTATTGTTTAGATCGTGACAGATCGTGACAGTGGCAATGTTACTGTAGTAGCACACTGCTGTCTGAGAACACCTGCTGTGGTAGGTATCTGCAGGAAGAGGAATGTGCATATGAGATTCCAGTAAGGATGGTATGTATGCCGGAAGGAGACACTGGGATGAGAATTGGGAAAACTAGATTGAACAAAACTGTACACTGTATATCTTACATTTATCTATGAGAGATAAAGTTAATACTTAGATATGTTCATTGTGATTTAAAATGCAGCATGTAGAAAACTACCCTGAGCATATTTGTGTAGAGATGATAATCAGAATTCAGACATTAGTGTTGAACTACTTTTAATATTTAGGACTTTAAAACTCTTCTAGATACATTTTTACCATATGTACTATGTATTATGAATGGATTTTTGTTTGCCTGCAATTCATAGCACTCATCCATTCCAGCACTGCTTTCATAACATGAAGCGAGCATTACACCTGAAGTCTAACTGCTCTTTGTTCCTGTGGTGTAAATCCTGGTTGCAGAACAGTTTAACAAGCATCTTCTCTCTTTTACTTTATGCGAGCAGTTTAAATTCAAAACACTCAAATTATGTTATTGTCTTTAATATAAAATATAATGCAGTTGACACCTGTTAGATCTGCCAGCATTTGTTTTATCAACCAAAGTAAAAAAAATCTTCTGTGCTGCAACAATGTGAAGGCTTCTGCTGGAACCAAAGGTGGCATGTAGGACTTCTGGTGGAAAACAAGTAGAAAACCACGTATCAAACAGAGCCTTCTGGTGATTTAAAACTTGTAGCAGTTCTACAGGTAATCAATTCTTTTAAGAAGAATGCAAAACAACAACAAAGAAACAGTACAGTTGGTCTATTACTGGAGTATATATTTTTAGTGTCTTTATTTCATTTACATATATGAATGAATATATAAAGATCTATTTATATAAAAATGTGAAATCCAATACAGTAAGTACAGTGTGTTGTACAAATATGGATCATAATCTAATGCATTTAGGTGGCTCGTGATGGCTTCGTGGAGTCCCTTTCCAACGCAAGGTATGCCCCTCTCCAGTAGGATGTTTTGAGATGGCTTTTCCTTCTTCAGAGCAGTTGCTAAAGAAAGGGTGTAGGAGTATGGAAAAAGTGGGAAAGTGGACCTTAAACAGTTTACTGGTGATTTTAACCCTCCATTTTCCTTGTTTTGCATGTGAAAAACAGCATAGGACCAGAGCTGTATTGCTGTTTTGGCTAGGAGCTCTCTTTGGGGAGCTGCCCTGATAATTACAGAGATAAACTGTCAACAACAACAGTGGGTAAATGACTGTAAGTGATTGTGCTTGGACCTGGAACTGCAACCTTCCTCTTCAAACGGCTGACTGAGACATCTCTACTCCTTGGGTCATGGTTAGCATGAAATTAAAAAGATTTCTTTTTCAAATTTAAATAAGAATTTTTTTTTACCCTGAAATTGTTACCTGTGAACTTTGTCATATGAGACGGTTAACTGTCAGGATTACTGAAAGGAATCACATTTCCAATGCTTAAGGTGGGAATGCACCTCCTTACTGTTATGATGTTATGTAAATTCCCTATGTTATCTCCTAAATATTCTGATTTTCCTTAGTATAGATAGATAAAATTGGTTGTTCTCTGTGCTGATTAGAGGACATTTCATTTTTTACTGTGTTTATGTTACACACAGCAATAATGTTGCTTAGAAACCTGTAATAAAAGCACATTGCTGATGTAGAGTATGTGTGGGCTTTTATGAATCTGGAACTCCATTTTCTGGTTTCGCAGAACCATAAAGCAGCGTCAACAGCTGAGCTGAATAAATCAAGCAAGAGTGAGGCTCCAGACAACATCGCTTGGCAACTGGGAGACCATTATCTGGTCTGTAGGGATGATCAGCAAACCGTGGGAAGGGTAGAGCATTCACCAAGGCCTTCAGCTGTAGCTTTACTCTGTGAGGAGTTAGGAGGAATGCTGGTCTTCTGCCTGAAGGAAGAGGTATTTTTTCATTTCACAAGCAGGGCAAAGTGATTTGGGCTGTGCTGGCTGATGAATAAATACTCTCTCTGTGGATTCCTGTTTACCAAGAGCTGACCAAATGCCTCAAAATAACTCAGTGATGAGGTAGTAGACAGCAATAAAATTAACCTTTAAAAAGCATTCTCTGAATTGCAGTTAGGTGAATTTCCTTAAAAGAAAAATGCAGAGCGAAGCCTGATTAAGAACACCTCTCCTCCAGTGTTTTTCCTCTGTGTGGAGGTGCAAAAGCCGAGTCCAACTCAAAGCAACCAAATCAGATTCTGTTACAGCGGGCCCAGTGCCAGCCTCGCAGATGCTCCCATTGCTGCCCTGCGGAAGTGTCACAGGCCCAGTGCAGGTCTTTATTATTTGTTGGCAGCTACACTCGGGGCTGTTTTAAACAGAGATCTTCAAAAAAAGAATTTGCTGTCAAGGCTTCAGTGCATTTTTCTCCTGTAGACATCTTGTAGTAAATGAACAAGTATAATTAAAAAAAGAGAAAGCCAAACTCTTAATAGAGGCACTGTCATTCTCACTTTCCTCTTTAAGATGTAAGTCTTGCACGCAAATACAAAACATTCACACACTGTTGCACAGCTTTAACTTTTTGCAGTGGAAGTATTTCAAACTGCTATTTTTCTTTTAAAATGTGTAAGAAATGTGAAAGCGCAGCTAGGTTAGGTTACGCTATTAATAATTGCGGGCGGCAGTGACAGAAGATCCACGCTCCTGTAAGGACGCACCACTGCGAGCACGGCGAGCCTCACAGGCGCGAGCGAACAGCTGAGGCGGGAGGCCGCAGCGCAGAGCCCCGCTGCCGACGGGCGGCTCTGGAGATCGGCTCCCGCGCCCGCTGCTGAGCTCCCGAGCAGCCGCTCCTGCCCTCCACAGCCGAGCCGCGCCGATCCGCGGCCGTTAAGCGGACTCGCGCCCCCATGTGCACACAGCCAATCCGGGGGTGCGGACGGCTCCTCGCGCACGCGCCCCGCCTCGGTTGCCGCCGGGTGGGCCGGGCTTCAACGGCGGCGTCGGGGAGGTGGAGCGGCTCCTTTGTGGGCGCCGGGCCGGGCCAGGCCCCGCGGAGGGCACGCTCGCTGCCGTTGGTGCGCGCTCCCGGCCGGCGCCGCGCCCCCGCCTTCCTCTCCTCCCGCCCTCCTCGGCCGCCGGGGGGCGGGGCGGCGGCGCTCTGGCGGCGGCAGCAGCAGCAGAGCAGCATCAGTAGCGAGCATGTCGTCGAGCAGGGCCAAGAAAGTGAAGATGGCCACCAAGTCGTGCCCGGAGTGCGACCAGCAGGTGAGGCGGGGCGTGGCGCGGCGCGGGAGCCGCCCTGTCCCGTCCCGTCCCGTCCCGTCCCGTCCCGTCCCGTCCCGTCAGCCGTCCCACGCCTGGCGCCCGGCCGCTTTGCCCTCAGTGCCCGTGTACTCGGCGCTCGCCGCCGCCCGGCTGGCACGGCAGCCCTGCCGCTGGGGCTGTGGCTGAAAGCGGGGCGAGCCGCGGGTGTGCGGGGCTTCGATGCCACTTCGGTGCCCCCGGCCCCGCGCCTCGGCGTGCAGCGCGGCCGCTGCCCGTGCAGGGGCTTCCCGCTGAGCCCCGCCGCTCTTCCTGTTTTCTGTCAGCTCCTCTAGCCTGTGGCTGTCTCTCGATGTACGTGCTGTAGAATACGCGTTTGTGACGGTAACGCCAGAAGCTGCTGGCTGAGCTGCTTGGTTTTCAGAAAGGAGGAAGATCTGCACCGTTTATAGCAGCGTTTGTATGAAGCACGGAGTTGTTGCCTTTGTAGTCGCCGGTTGTGTGTGCCCTGCTTCTCTCGCTGTGATAGTTAGCTTATGCCAAAGGATTCTGTGACATGCAGCGTTGCTTAGGCATTGGTATTGTTTAATAACGACAAAATATATCAAAATACAATTAACTTTGTAATTTATACAGTGCAGCCCGTCCCCAGCATGACTCGCGTGCCTGGGACCGGTCAGGATCGCTCACTGTGCTGCTTTCTCATGGAGCAGTTTAGAAGGAGCAAAACTGGGAGCTTTGCTGTGATTCCTCCCGTGTGGTCCCAACGTGTGTGCAGTGTTGTTTGCTCCCACTGCAGTTGTGCTCAGCATACAAAGTGCAATTATTGTGCTTCAGCGTGAGCAGCAGTTGGGCTGTTGGCATATTATATGTTTGCCTTCACGTCCACTTCCTACTGGTGATGATGTTACTCATAAAAGCAGGCCGGCTCATTTCAGCCGTGCTGGAACAATAGCACAGCGCTGCAGAAGGCTGCCGTGGGGCTCGGGTAGGGGAGAAGGCTTTCCCATGTAATTATGGGAAACACATTTCTGTTTGATCCTGGAACATGAACCGGTATCCCATTTTCAGTTAAAACCTAAAACAAAAAGCTCTTACACTGCTTGCTGAACAAATTCTAAAAAAATCACTTGTTCTGACTTGCATGGTTTCTGTAATGTTCTGTTGCATCCCGGAGCAGCTGCAGGCGTTACGCTGCGTGGGGCACCCTTTCATGTTTTAAGCAATGCATGAACCACTGCAGCTGCTCACATGTTGAGTACGTCACTGCAGTGCTGTTTCTGAGAAAAGGAAGCTATGTGCCAAGTTCTGATATTAGGTCGGTGAAAGAAGAAATGGAAATGAGTGAGAAGTTGAGTATGAGATAGGTGTTTTTTGTTTTGTTCATTTAATTTAATGTAAATGACAAACTACCAATACTAGGAAGGGCAAATAATATTACAGACTTTTAAAGCTGATGCTGGAACTTTGTTCCGCTCCTTAGAACTAAACCAGATGATGTGCATGTGAGCACAGACATGTTATTAACAGGTCTTCCATGGCTGGCAAGGAATTATGTGCGTCTTGGCCTGGCACAAGAATTACTCATCAGGCCTTGCTTTCCAAGACCAGAAGCTAAAACCTTGCCTCACAATGCCCGGATCTTTAAAGCTTCTCTTGGAAGCGAGGTGCTTTGCCCCAGCGCAGCTCATCGGCCCTCTGCATGGTGGGAAGGCCCTTGGTGGCCATGTCTTGTACCAGCATTTCTTGCATAAACAAGGGCTTTGTGTGTTACAAGTGATATATAGGGAAACACTTAGACAGCCACAGATATTACAGTATAATGCTGAGTGATGTTTCTTAGGCTTTTAAACTTTTTTTTTCCTGACATTTAGATGATATGTAATTGCCATTTAGTATCTTTGGTTTTTATTGTGTTGCTTTTTCTGTTACAGAGTTTTGATTGTATTTTCACAGCCCCAGTAAATGAGGGAGCCTGAAATCCTTGTGGTCATTTATTGGAAATAATTAACCTTAATTTACCTTTGAGTGATCTTTCTTGTATGAGAAACTCAATTTGTTTTGGTTAGAAAAACATTGAACGGACTCAAATAGCATTTGCAGGACTGTGCTGCCTCAATGATTGGTGGGGGATGGTTTGTGTAGTAAGTAATTTTCAGAGGATAATTGAGAGCCTTGGGTGAATAAGCCCCTTCCCACGTGCTCCTGTCCCAAACATTAGTCCCACCTACATGCCTAACCTATAACAATATTGCTCTGTCAAACACTATGAAGTTAATTGGGAAAAAAAATAGTGTTTCCTCTAGTTCCTATTGGTTGTCCTCCACCAGTGGTGATTTATTTATTTATAATTTTGGCAGCGCCAAGGGAGGTAATTATTGGAGTGATCCAGGTGTTCAAATGTGGGTTCATAATGTAAACAAACCTGAACAATGCAGATGAAGTGTCTGCTGAGTAGTGTTTCTATACTCTCCTCTTGAGATGTGAACAGTGGGATAAGAGCGCACATAAGCCTGCTAACTTTGATTTTAGGGTTAAGTAAAGCTTGATTAGATTGTTTTTAATGTCAGTGTTCCCATTAAAGGGAGTAACCATGTCTGTAGTTACCTGGGCTGCATCAACTCACTCAGTCACTCATCCTGAGATGATGTTCAGGAGTTGAGATGTGCTGAAGGAAGCAGAATGCTTATTTATTCTGAGTAACAAGTTCCTCTTTAAAATTAATGTACTGCTTTCACATTTGTGTCTTAGCCAGCTGAATACTGGGAACCTTCATATGCATGTCTGGTAAAATTCAGCAGACGGTGGTCAGTCTGTACTCCTTGCAGTTTCAGTGAATGCTGGCAAACTTGTAGAGGCCTGTCTTAACTTGGGAAATTACCTCCTGCTTCTTTTCCCCACTCTCCTGCTTCAACGTGGTTTGTTTTTAATGGTGTTATTTAAGTCGATTCCAAATTTTTTTTTTATGGTTGCTTTAATTTGTGTTTTCAGCCTTAAACCTAATCAAGGTTAGATGGGGTATTCTGTACTATTTTAAAACATCTTGAAAGACCTTGGCTTTAGGTGAAGATGACAAATGACAAATGATGTTGTTTATCAGCATTGCCTTTTTAAATTGTTCAGAGTAAATTTTGGTCATATTTCTTGTAAGCACAGCATTTCCAAATTCTTGCACCTTGGTTCAAATTGCCTGTGGCAGTGTGCTGCTCTGGGCTGCTCTGCTGGCTGAGGGAAGCTCTGTGGCCTCTCAGGCTCTGTCTGCAGCCAGCTTTGGGCGAGCTGTGGCAAGTTATGTGTGTTTTGGGTTAACTGGTCCTTCTGAAGCTCCCCGGCCTTGTCTGCAGCCCTGTGGAAGTGTGGTAGGAACGCATGTGTTTAACTTCAGGCTCTGTTGTGCCTCTCATGCTAAGCTGCTGTGCTGATGAAGGGGTTGGTTTTGATTGTTTCTGAGGGTGAATGTGTTCTAAATGCAATGATGATTTTAACTTATGCTTTCTTTCCCCTTCCCCCCCTCCCTGTATTTTGTTTTTGTTTAATAAGTGAGGGAAGGAATGCTGGGAGTGGCTTACTGCTATGGCTGGGGATAATTGTGAGCTCCAAAAGAAAACGTGCTTCTATTCTAATTCATCCCTGGTTTGATGCCCTCACTTTTCCTCACCCCTTCCTGCCAGCGTGGGGAAAAGGGCTCATTGTACAACACATGGCAGTGTTGTGTTCTGTGCTTGTTTTCTGCATGACAACTGCATGAAGAGAAGGCTTAGTGGGTGATTAACAGCAGAACCTGGTTTGACTACTTTCAAATATAATATGTGATGGTCTAGACTGTAGTTTTTCAGTAAAAACTAAATATGAAGAGGTAGCTCTGTGGGGATGGAATGCAAGATACTGTTGTGTGGGGTTTTTTTTCATCGTATATAGGAATTTGGTCATAATTCAAAATGTTCTGAAATACTTTTCTTTTGCTTTCTCAGGTTCCTGTTGCATGTAAATCGTGTCCCTGTGGCTACATATTTATTAGTCGAAAACTCCTGCATGCTAAACGTGCAGAGAGATCGCCACCCATTACAGGTAATACTTACAAAGATATGGAAGATTGTGATAATAGCTCTTCTGCTTTATTTCTTGGAAGCAAAGAGCAGTGTTTTGTGCCTCTATGCAAACTGGCTGCTCTTAGTTCACTTTCCTTTGAATTTGTGCACAGTAATCTTAATGTAGTAGTTTTTCTTCAGTTTTAATGGGGAAAATATGGTGGTTTTGGTTTTACATCCTTTATACTTGCAGTATTGGCATTTATTCTGTGTACACTTAGCTGCTCACATTAGTCACTATGCAAAACAATCCCTTGCAGAAAGCTTTCTGTTAATGTTTTGAAAATAAACGTCTGCATACGTCAAAGGGATCCGATTTCAGAGTGCATGCTGATTGAAGCTGGGTTTTCTGAAAGTAACTGTTTTTTCTTTAAGTTACACTGAGTTTTGCTTACTCACGAGCACTAGAATGGCACTGCATAAATGTGGTGACATGTCTAATTTAAAACCAGGTACATCCTGCTTCTTTCTGCACGGTTAAATCTTAAAAGTCCATTTTGTGTCCAATCCAATTTCTTTTGTTTTTGAAGTGCATGCTGAAACATTGGTTGAGTATGCATTCTATCATGATTAACATTCTCCTTGTGTCCGATTTTTATCACTTCCTCAAGTCCTAGTAGGAATTAGTGAGATCAAGCACCTGTTGAGGAATTTTGTTTTTAATTTTGATGTATGCTTTTTTTTCTAAATTATCAAGAAGTCTACAAAACTGAACCTAAGAACTTGGTATTTTTGTATTGATATTCTGAAGGGCCCTTGTAGTTCAAACGCTAGTAGGAATTATATGATTGATTACAGTATGGAACAGGTAATGCAATCTGTGCTATTGTCTGGAAGGGCTGATTTTTCTCTCCCGCTCCCCAGTTGTTTTAAATACAAGTTACCAAATTAAGTTGATGGCCATAGTTTGATAGAGCAAAGCTCCCGCATAATTCGGCTTTGTATGTGTGAAATACAGCTTTTGAATTAAGATCAATGACAGGTTAATGTGCTGTCCAGTCTGTAAGTAGCCTGTCTATGTAAATGAGGTGATAGAATCAGAAGGAAGTTGATTCCCCAGGAAGATTTTGCTCGTAAATGGAACTGCAACTTTTTTTACCATGTAGTTACTGCAAAATGGAGCTGCAGCCTTGCAAATGTTCAACCAGTTTGCATTGAATAGTTTGTGGTGGTTGCGTACTATTTTCACTACTCAAGCTCACTAATCTGTACTTAACTTTTCAGTGAAACTCATGTAAATGCCCTTTGATGTGTAGGAAGGTGATACACCTGTTCAGCATCAAGTGAAATGAGACTTGGTCTTAGGCTGAGGTTGGTGGGGGAGTGATGGTGGGGGTTTGGTGGCTGAGTAATGACATCTAACGATAGCATCCTTGAATCAGTATCTCTTGCCTGAGCAGTGGGAACAATTTCAGTATTTGTATCAGAAGTACTTTACTATAGGTCAGCTATGTGATAAATCATACATTTTTAACTTATTCTTCAATAATGAAAATGTGTGTAGTGCCTTGATGACTGTGTTCTGGAGAGTTTTTTTCCCATATCTTGTAATGGGAAGCTAAGAACTGGTGTTCTAGTGAATGTCATATGTTACCAAATGTCATTTATATTTGAATGAATTAAAAGCTCAATCCATGTAATCAAGAAGCATAGTGTAATTTTGCATCTGACACCTTAATTTCTGCATGGATGTCATGAATTAGACCTGTGACTGTTGTGAAGAGAAGTAAAGGAAAAAAAGTTGGATGGGTGAGTGCTGAGAGTAAGATATGAGCAAAGATGAGGACTATTGCAGATCACATCATCTCTATTCATTTGCACAGAAAACAAGAGTGAGGCCAAGAGGAGACGGACAGAGAGAGTTAAGCGAGAGAAGATAAATTCTGCGGTAAATAAAGACTTAGAAAACCGAAAGAGATCGAGGTCTAACAGCCATTCAGATCATAGCAGACGAGGAAGAGGAAGACCTAAGAGTGCCTCAGCCAAAAAGCACGAGGAAGAAAGAGGTATGAGAACTGGAGAAGTATTCACTGGGTTCTGTTTCTGTTAAGATTTTTTTTACCATTACTATCAATAAACTTCTATAGCATTCTTTAGAGTAACTGGGCTAGGTCGGTCAGTACCACATGTAATATGGGGAAGGGAATTTGGTTTTATGAAGTTTTGGTACTTGATTGGAAGAAATTCCTAGTAATTAAATCAGTATTTTTTAGTCACCATACCCAGTTTTATCATGTAGATTGAAAGCTTGTAGATTGAAAGAACTGTAATGTTTAGTGTTTTTTTTGTTTTTTTGTGATCCACTATTCTAGATCACAAGAACAAACAAGATGGTCGCTGTTGTCAGAGTGATTAGGATGACAACATTGCTTAAAAAAAAAAACAAAACAAAACAAAACTTGAGACTCTTTAGGGAGCCCAAAGCAGAAAGGGCATGTTGAAGTCATTGCAGTGACTTGATTCCAGGTTTTTACATAATATCTCCCAGGAAATAATGCCTCCTTACTTATTAAGATGCCCACTGTTTTTAATCTTTATACAAGAGACTTCTACGTGCACTGGAGTGATTCTGGAGTCCTTCAAGCACGTGGCTATCACTTAAGACTTCCATCTTCGAACCTGTTGGTATTACATTTGCTATTGTTGCTTGTGGCTTGCTGATGTCTGCACCTTCACAGAATTTGAAGCTTCCCTGTTTATTATTGATCTGAACTGAACTCTGTCTACGTGCACTGTAGGATCATTTCTAGACACTTTTCTGAGAGTCTAATTCATGCACAGCTTTGGTTTGAAAATTCTGCAAGCTTTTTGAGTTGCCTTCTGAGAGTAAGTTGTTTTTTTCATATCCCATGAAACATAGGAAAGCAATCTAAGCAATCAAAAGAGGAAATCCATTCTGCATGCATGTTTTGTAGTGTCTTAAAAGAAATAATTTGAAAGCATGAGGAATATCTAGAAAACTAGGCCAAATATTTTTGACCTCTTGCTGCATACTGTGGAGTGTGTGAGAATATACCAGTGCTCTGAGATGGAAAATGAGAAATATAGATGTAGTGAGGCCTTTATGTAAGAATGCAGATGCATGCATGTGTGGGGTTTTTGTTGTTATTGTCATGTGTCACTTAAGAAGATTGCCTTCATCTACTTGATCTTTAATGGAGCTGTGACTGCTGCACCAGCTCTGAGGAAGAGGTCAAAGAAGAAACAGCAGCAGAGCTTGAGTCTGTGCCTCCTTGAAATACATTAGCTCATCCCTAGTACAACACACTTAGTTGGCTAGGAATAAGTGGGCGTATGATCTTTCCTACTTCTGGTTAACGTACAAGTAAAAAAAAATAGTCAATGATGAGCTGCAATGTCTATAAAAATGAATTTGGCAGAGCACTCCTCATAACATAAGAGATTTCTCTAAAACAAATTAACACTGAAATTTCCATTTTTGTGGTTTATAAAATTGGCTGAACTGTTATGTGGAGAGTAATTAGTGGAAATTTTAAAAATATTCTTTCTTTTCTGGTCTTGCTGCTTGATAGTGTTTTTTTATGTGGAAGCATACTAAGCAACTGTAATTATTCTGCTCCAGTTGAGGTGATTTTTGTGTGACCTGCTCAACTATCAGCGCACTGAGAGCGTTTGATGTCGGGTTGGGTAGGACTTGGAGCAGTGCTAACCTTGTGAAAGATGTCCCTGCCTATGGCAAGAGGGATTGGACAGGTAACCTTTGAGAGTCCCCTGCAGCCCAAATCATTATTTGATTCTTTGGAAGCTGGCTCTGGATTATCTTGAATTAGATATTAAGTACTTTATTTCCTTTGATTATATATTGGTGGGACATTTTGGGTACAGCTTGATTGCCACCAGTGATTGTGTTCCTTTTCTCTTTTTTTCTGCCAAAAAAAACCCCAAAGAAATAAAAATAAAAATAAAAAAAAAAAAAATCAAAACTGGAAAAAAAAGCCACTGCTTGTAAGTTTGTAGGTATTTGGTTAGGCTTCTGCATTACCTTTCGGGTGGACAGAGAACACCTACATTAGAATAGCAGGCAGATATTTTGTCTGTCTGAAGACCACCCAGCTGTGAAAATTTCCTTCCTGAAGACATCTGTAGCTTTGCTTCTGTGATTGCTTAATACTCTTTTTATATGTAGTGTGCTTTCCCCCTGTTATGTCTGCGCTTTCGGCCAGTTCTTTTGTTTCCTTCCTGACTGGTTCACATTAGAGCTGCAGAATTAAGCATCAATTAAGAGGAATGGGGGATTCAAAAGGGCTTTTTAAAATAATCTCTTTTTCCTCTAGATTCAGAAAGAAGGAGTTGGGGAGGGGAAGAGAGGAAGATGACATAGAATGAGGGGATGTGGTAGAGGGCTGGGACCCAAAGGAGATGCTTCTGTCATGTTTCAAAGTGATGTGATAACCCTGGGAAATAAGAACTCCTCAATAAAAGCCTGATTTTTGTCAGGATTGTCAGTGTTTGGTTTTTTTTTTTGGTCAAGATCTGCAATATATTTTGTAAACAAAAACACTTCATAATAATCTGCTATTGATTTTGCTGCTGTTGTGGCATAAGCTGATTTTGCTATGTGGGGCTGCAGTGCAGAGCTGGGCTGGTTCGCAGGCCGCCTTCTTATGTACATAACAGCTTTGCTGTTTACCAGCTGTGAGTCTTATTACAGATATTTATGTTTCAGTACCCTGATACTGTTTCAGCTGAAGTAGTAAAATAGCTTGAACAAAGTTTTCCCTTCCCTGCAATTTGTTATTCTATCATTTGTGCGTTTGTTTACTCAGGGTGCACGGTTGAAGTAGTGCTGTCTCGGATAGAAAGAATTCTTAGAATCTCAGCACTTTGGATTTTGAATGCATGCAAAATTTATGAGGGAGCAGAGTCCACGTTTGATTTATGCACAGGGGACAATTTAAAGGTCCGTGGGTCCAGAACATTGCATAAGATCTAGGAATTATTCTAGAAAGACTGAGTATTTTCACCTAAGTATCCTCTTTGTTGTACGGAAAGGACTTGATATTTTTAATGTATTACATAAATGGTATTGTGATTTTGTAAGACAGTCTTTTGCTAATAATAGAGAAGTGAGTCAAAACTACTTTCAGATAGGAATGTGAAGTGGAAAGTTTTGATGCTGTCTGTAGAAACCATGGTATCCTATGAATAGCTTATAACAAAATGTCAGCCAGATGCAAGTTCTTCACTAGTTGCTGATGAAAAATGAAATGATCTTGATGCATAAAGCTTACAAACTCGCGTTAATCCCCAATACCATTTGATATAAAGATTTCAATGGATTCTTTGAAGTGGAAGTTTCTCGGGACTGGCTTGCGCACCAGAAGGGGCAGGAAGGAAGGGAAATCTTGGGAAATCTGCTTGGCCAAGTCGTCTGAAATCTATTAACATTAAATGGGGTGAGGGGGGATGTTTTTAATTTTTCTGTGTTCTGACATTCTGGGTTTGTTGGGATGAGGAAGTCTGGGGGAAAAAAAGAAAAGGGGAGTCCTTTAGATAAGAAAACGGGAAAGGTTAATATGAAATGAGTAGTGTGTGCATAGTGGCTGTACTGAGAACAACTCATTTTTATATTTATAAATATATATATTTAAAATATATAAAATATATATACTTATATATATATATATAATATATTTTATATATATAATATATTTTATATATATTAACATTGTTAATATGTCTGGATCAGAGATGAACAGCTGTTAGCTTGCTGATTAAGCCACCATTATTTTCTTGTATTTCTTCTTGTATTGCATTTTTTTGTATTTCTTGTATCCATCACTGGTTTAGATGTGTAGGTGAAGCAGTATGCTGGAGTGTGCTGTGGTCAAGAGTGTGTGTCTGTGTGTTAATGAGATAAAGGATCAGGTGAACATGTATTCTGATTGTAAATTAGTCTGGGGCACTGTCGAATGTGGAGTAGAAGTGGAGCTTCAGAGTTGAAAACTGCAGTCAAAGATCAGGTTTGCAACTGCAAAAATGTCTAAATGCCTAAATGTCCACAAGTCTGTGAGTCCTGCTGAGATATATTCCCAGAATCCCAAAGGAATTGGCTGACATAGTTACTAAGCCATGCTCAATGATGTTTGCAAAATCATGGTGGTCAAGTGAGGGCTCTGGAAAAAAGGCAGCGTCACATCCAATTTTAAGAAGGGTAGAAAGGATGACCCAGGGAGCTACCGACCTGTCAGCTTCACCTTAGTGCTGGGGGACATCATGGAGCAGATCCTCCTGGAAGCTATGCTGAGGCATATGGAAGAAAAGGAGGTGATATGGGATGACTAGCATGGCTTAATCAAGGGCAGGTACTGTCTTACCAAGCTTTCTGCTTTTTATGATGGTGTAACTGCAGTAGGAGACAAGGAAAGAACTAATGATGTAATCTGTCTGGACTTTAGTAAGGCCTTTGGCATAGTCTCATATAAGATCCTTCTCTCCAAATTGATAAGATATGGATTTGATGGGTGGACTGTTTAATGGATGAGGAACTGGCTGTGAGATCATACCAGAGAGTGGTAGTCAATGGCTGAATGTCTGAGTGGAATCAATGACAAGTGCTGTCCCTCAGGAGTCAGTACTTGGGCTGGTGCTCTCTAACATCTTCATCAACGACATCGACAATGGGATCGAGTGCACCCTCAGCAGATTTGCAAATGACACCAAGCTGTGTGGTAAAGTTGATGTGCCTGAGGGATGGGATGCCATCCACAGGGACCTAGATGGGCTCGAGCTGCGGGCCCAAAAAAACCTCATGAGGTTCAACAAAGCAAAAAGCAAGGACTCACACCTGGGTTGGGGCAACCTGTGCTATCAGTAAAAGCTGGGGAATATAAGGATACAGTACTGCCCTTCTGAAAAGGACTTGGGGGTACTGGTGGATGGCAAGCCAAACATAAGCCAACAATGTGCATAGAAAGTCAACTGTATCCTGGGCTGCATCAAAAGAAGTGTGGCTAGCAGGTCAAGGGAGGTGATCCTGCCCCTCTGCTCTGTACTGATGAGACCTGATGTGGAGCACTATCTCTGTATTTGGAGTCCTCAGTACAGGAGAGGTGTAGACTTGTTGGAATGCATCCAGAGGAGTGCCCCAAAAACGATCCAGGGGATGGAACACCTTACTGTTGGGATAGGCTGAGAGTTGGGGCTGTTCAGCCTTGAGATGAGAAGGCTCCGGGGCATCTGATGGCAGCCTTTCATTGTCTAAAGAGGAGCTATAAGAAAGAAGAAGACAGACTCTTTAGCAGGGTCTGCTGTGACAAGACAAGGGGAAATGGTTTCAAACTAAAAGAAGGAGGACTTAGATTGGCAGTAAGGAAGAACTTTTTTATAATAAAGGTGGTGAGGTGCTGGCACAGGTTGCCCAGAGAGGTGGTGGAGCCTCATCCATGGAGACACCCAAAGTCAGGCTGGATGGAGCTCTGAACATCAAGCTGTAGAACTACGTGGCCTTTAAAGATCCTTTTGAACTCAAATGATTCTATGATACTGTAAAAACAATCTTTAGAACTATATTTTGTGTGTATTGCTCTCTTCTGTGTCTGCAAGGCTGGTCTTATGCTGACAAAACTTTTTTTATTGTTTTCTTTTGCTTTCTCTGAGTTGTAAGATACCTGTGGCTAGCTAAACTTAAGTATAAATAGGCATGATCTAGAATAAGTGGTATTTTTGAAAGCAGTGTTCTGAGTTTTGGCGTGTGCTACGGAGTAAGTTAGTTAAGCAAGCACCCTTGCTTACTGTTATGTGTCTGCATCCCTGAAACAAGACAGTGTTTTCAGAGAAAGCTGAGGGGCTTTCCCTTGCTTACTCAGGTTTTAGTGTTGTTCCATATCTGGGATAAAATTGAAAGTCTCTGATACAGAAAGTTCAGAAATGATTGTGGTAGCAAATTGGGATCCTTGTGCTGTTTGGACTTGGGCACTGTAGTTCATGTCTTCGTTACTCAGATGTAAAATGAGGGTACAAATGTTGTAGTTAATGAGGATATTGTGAAATGTCATTGTTTTTTAGGATGGGGGCTGTTTTTGTAAAAGCAAAACAAACACGGCAAAACAACCCAACCAACAAAATCACCACCAGGAAACCAAACCCCGGTAAACCTGGAGGAACACTTGAGTTCAGTTTGTGCCAGGAATCCATCTAATGTTAGTGACTCATTCTTCCTTAGTCATTAAAGAATAGAAATTCAGTCATGCTTTTGGGTGACTAATTCTGTGACTCTGCTAGCACCTTTGTGTGCCTCCCTCCCTTCCTTATCTCTCAGTCCCTCCCCAAGCAGGAGTTGTCAAACTTCTTTGTAATTCCTGTAAGCATTATAATATTGTAAGTTACATAGTAGTTAATTTAACTTCAGATAATGGAAAAAGCTTCTAATAGTGACTTTTTTTTTCTTCTACAGAGAAACAAGAAAAAGAAGTTGACATGTATGCTAACCTTTCAGATGAAAAGGCCTTCGTATTTTCAGTGGCCTTGGCGGAAATAAACAGAAAAATTATCAATCAAAGACTTATTCTGTAACTTGTAAGCACAATCTGATGCGTTTATATATGGAATGACTAGCATATTTCCAAGGTGTCATGGACTCTCGGAAAGCGTGTTGTCTGCGCCAATAAGGACCGTAGTATTTCCTGTTAAAATTCTGCTGCTGTTTTTGGAAATCACATTCTGTCTCTGCAAGTGAGAAAGGAAGTGTTCTCAAGATTGTGCTATGGAAATCAGAAAGCAGAAGTGTTTTATGCCTTGAAGACAAATACTAGACGAATGCTCAGAGAGACTGCACCCATGCTAGAGCACTTCTTGTAGATTTGCTGCCAGAAATGCAATATTTTAAATATTTTCAGAAAGTAATGATTTTCCTTTAAAATCATATATTTCAGATTTTTGGCTGTATTGCAGTTTACATATGTACAGTTCACTTAACTTTTTAATAAATTGATATTGCAATATTTTATTGAGCTGGAAATTAAGTACATTTGTGATACTTTAAGTGTTTTGGTTTTAATCCTCTTAAAAATCTGGTATTCTTTGGTTTTTCTTGTGTTTTTTTTTGTGTGTAGGTTTTTTTGTTTTTTTGTTTTTTTGTTTTTTTTTTAATAGATAGGATATAATTCAGTAGGAAGAAAACTAAAGCAATTTCATTTCGAGTGACTATTTTGCTTGTCAACTTGACAAAGAGGTCCCCAACAGAGAGTTGCTTTTCAAAAACCACATACAGTTTTTGGGGTCAGGCTGCTGGGGTTGGAAAGGCAAATACTTGTTTTGTAACTGCTGTTTGCTAGGTTTCTGTCTTGTCTGATTGGTAAGTACTTAGGCTGTATTCTTAATTGGCCCATTATTTAATAGGAAGAGAGAGAAAGTAGATATCTGTGATGTAGATTGGCATCTAGCAACTTCTCACTGATATTCCCAAAACATGAGGATATGCTGGTTAAATTTAATTCTCAACAGCTTTTGTTGTGTGGTGATGAGCTGTTCTGGTAGAAATAGGTTTGGGAAAGATATTCAACAATAGCCATTGTGTTAAAATGGTATAATGCAATTTGAGCCCAAATTCTGACATTAATATGTATTTTTCTCTTTTTTTCTAAAAAAAACAAACAAACTTCAAACTGTAGAACACTGAAGAGGAGATGTGGGAAGCAGTTGCATGTGTAGGATCTGACATACTTGCTTTTTATCGCTTTTCCAAGAAGAGGAGAGAACTTAAATGTCTCATTTTTTCAGTCTTACTCATACTTTACAGTATCACTATTTTAATAGTGAGAATGAGTTTCTGCCACAGAGCTGATCTTTGGTTGGTAGCAAAGAATTTCATTAATAAAGCTAGGCTATTGAACTCACTGCTTACTAATTATTGCTAAAAGAAAGGAGCTGTGCTTTGAGTTAATTAAGCCACAAGGGATGACTTTTAATTCTTAAGTCGTAATTGGGGTCCTTTTTAACGATGGGGGAATGGTATGGGTGTGGAAAAGCACTTAAACAACTAATCTGCATTTATCTTTATTCCAGTAAATGAGAATTTGTGAACGCAAGATCTACTTCCCTTCATCATGTAAATTTCTGCTTTCCAGAGCTGTAGCCTGTGACAGATAAAAGTAGCAAGAACAAATGAGTAACTCTTAAGGATAGAGATAATGCGTCATAACGGCTGTCTGCATGGTAAGTTAAAAGTCAGAATGACAAAAGGGAAGTTCTCATTTTGCAAACTTAAGATATAGTCAGGATTGTGTTGCTTCTGTTGCCAGAATGAGATTTACTGTGTTAAGAGAGGAACGGAAATACTAATGTCCAACTATCTGATGCTCTAACCTGCATTCCTACAGGTGCCTCTTTCTTTTTACTCTTGCATATGGAATGAACATTCTTGTAACAGAGATTCTCTGCATCAGAGGAATGCAGCTGATGTTAAATGTCATGTTAAGATTTCTACACTTAGATTAGTGCCTTACTGTTAAGAACTGAAAAATACATTAATACCTCTCAAATGTGCAAGGCCCTTTTCTCTCTTCATCAGTGGAGAATCTTGAACGAGTGATGAATTTTTATTTCTGTACCACTTCTTTTTGTTTTCATCAGGTCTCCGCTCTCAATTCTTTTTCAGTTGTGATCATGCTATTTTTCTTTCCTTTCTGGCTTCCAGTTTCTTTGCAGAAGCTGTGATAGATGCAGGTTGTTTTGAAAATATCCCAAGGTGGGGGTAGCTCTTTGCTAGTGGGCCACAATGGATCTTGCAAAGCAGGAGTCCAGATTTGCTTTTACCACCAATCAGAAACAAACTAGTTTCCTATATAAATGAGACACTTTGGAATCTTCCTAAAGCATTGGTATCTCTGTAACTGTAATATCATAAGACATAGATTTATTGGAATATATTCCACACTTGAACTGTAAATTGTGCATTTCAGGATTCAGGGACTCTTTCTTTGTGTTGGAGATGGTCAAGGGATTAAAAATAGCAGTAAATGACTGTAAATTATTGATGTTGAATGTATTGCATCTCAGTCTACAAAACTGTAAAATAAAGTCAATGACAGCTAAATGATGACAGAGTAAAATCCTGTGTATTGCAAGCTGTATTTGTGCCTGTCTTTTTAATGTATCTGACATGGAAACTTTTTTTTTTTCCTTCTTGTTTTCTCCAAGAAGCAAGAATAATTATTTAACCCTTCAGGAACTAATTGATGCAGTTTTTTTTGATGACTGGTTTCAGTGTAAGATTTTGGGCCTGCCCTGCCCTGAAATGTTTCTTTGATTCAGTCTGATTTAATCTGCTTCATTGCATATTGTAGCAGAAAGCTTCTCTGAGGAATATTGCATTTTTTGCCCGTTAACTTGAAGGAAGAGAAAATATTTCACATCTGTAAAAATACTAACTCACATCTGTAAAAACACTAACTCACTTCTGCACCACCTTTATGCTAACCTGTCTAGAGCAAATTAATGTTGTGAATTGAATGGTGTATGATTTTACTGGAAAGCTGCCTGCTTGAAGCCACCATCTTGCAAATTCTACTTTCTGCCACTTTGTTTATTTTTTCCTGATGAACTGTTCTTCCTATGTTTATGTATCTACATAATAGCATGTCAGACTATCAAGTGGGATCACAGCTTACATTCTAGCTTGGGATTTCTCTGCATTTACTTTATTCTGCTACTAGATGGCAGCCTTATTCTAAGGACAATTTCTGTAAATGTTCAGGCATTCTTACTATTAAAAGAACATAGTATTCAATTTCCTGTGAAAGTACACTGAAAGTCACTTTTCTTTAGACTGTCCTTGAGAGGCTGTTAGTGTAAGCAATTACATTAATCCCAATTTATGGGATCATAGATATGCAGTGTTCATTATTAGTGAGTGTTACAGCTGCAGTGGCATTTCCTTGCCTAGCAAAGGAAAGACAGCAATGGTGGCTCATTCCTGATATGAGGAGGCAGGGACAAGAGTGACTGGGCAGGAAGGCTGTGCCTTGAAAAGAGCAGAATGTTACATGGGGTAGGGGGAACAACACGAGAGAAGAAAGGGCAGGGAAGGAAAGTGGGGGTGATTGAGGGAATTTGTGTGGGTATTGCATGGGAGAAAAGTTAAACTAGGCAGAGCTGGAGAAGAGTGGAATAACAAGAACTAAGCACGACTGTGTGAAAGCTGCTAGGAGAGATCCATGTAGGCTTTCTGTGATATATAGTAGGGGAGAAAGCAGTGCATGAGTTCCACATTTCTGGAGATGTGACAAAAAGCAGGAAAATTTGGAAGGCAGAAGAGAGGTGATAGAAGAGTAAAAATACATAAACCATTCTGAGTTGAAGAGATCCTTTTTACAAAAAAATTGGGTAGCATGAGCAATGAGTGCTCCAAAGGCTGTGTTCTTCTTTTCTGTTGTGTTTTACCTTCTGTATCCTTAGTTGTGAGCTTATTGGGCTCTCATGGTTATGATCTGCAGGGAAACTGATTCAGGCATGATATGTGAGGTGAATGAGGTGTTTTGCAAGATATTTTTCATTTTGAATCAGCTCTGAAAGGAGGCTTTTTGATACCTAGAATGAACCTTACTATCATCAGTGACACTTTTCTTTAGCTCACTGTCTAACAATCCATTCTGCCAAAGTTAACGCCTGTCTAAAATACTTACCTCTGAATTTAAGACCCAAATGGGAAGGATTCTAGAAGTCTGATTTCCTTATTTCTGGCTCATAAATCTTGGTCTGTGTATACTTTAAGAGACTTAATCACAGAAATGATGTGTTCCTTAGTTAATAAGTCATTAAAATTAGAGGTCATACCTGCTGTATGGCCAAGAGAGGGCAAGAGGGTAGGAAAGGATTGCATCAGTTGAATTCTTCATGAAATACAGAGTAGTGCATATTGTAAGTGGCAGCATAATAAGATTTATCACCTAATGCATGTGGCAGTGTATTTATCTCATTTTTCTTCTTCCAGCAGTCACTCTTGATCTGCACTTCTCACTGTTGCAAACTTTTTTTTTTTCTTGAGGGCAAGTGGAGGAATTATTTTGATTTTTGCAATTTTGCAATTTTGCAATTTTGATTTTTTTACCTCTCAACATTTTAGAGCATTTTCTATTAAAAACAAGCTGTTCAGGAGTTGATCTGTTATGACAAACAGTTTGCAAGGGAGAATAAGGTAAAACTAGATCAATTAATCTTTTTTTTTGCTTTTGGTCCTCATGCCTTCACTAGTGTGCACCAGAAGGCTACAGGGGCTGTCTGAGCATCCTGAACTTGTTGCTATCTGTGGGGTTGAGCTGTGTAACAAGGATTTGTGCTATACAGAAATAAGATGCCTTCCCCCAAAACTGTCCCCCATTCCTGTAGAGAAGGCTTGAATCTGTTCTCTGTTGCACCTTCCTTATGACTCTTAAAGCCAGGTTTGCTGTATGATATGGTGTGCTTTGACTGCAAAATTATCTGTGCGTGTTTGCTATGAAACAAAGCAGATATTCACTTCTCCTTAATCTGTTTTTGTGGCAGTTACAGCTATTTTTGAAGAGTTCGCTAGGCAAGTTGGCTTTTGTGAGTTTATTCAGCTGCAGTTGTGCCCACCCATTGTGATGGAACGAAAAATAATGACAGAATGAAAATGTTCTGATGGTTGTACTTGTGTGCCTGCTTTGAAGGCAGGATTCATTGTAGTGCAAATCTTTGCAGGACAATGAAGTTAGAGCAGAGTTGAATCTAGCCCAATAAATACTATTCTTTTAAAAATAAATGAATAAATCAGCCTGCTTAAAGCAGTCTGCTACTGTTTTCCTTCCAAAACAATGAGCTCAAACACTACAGGTTTAAAAATAGAATGTAATTTATGAGCCTTCTAATCTTGGAGATGAGTCTGTATGTAAATAAGATTTAAAATATAAAATGAATATTAATGAGATGGAGAGGCTTTCAAATCTACCCTTTAGTACTAATCCATTGCAAGTGGAGCAGCTCTAGAAATGTGCTGATACTGGCACAGAGACAGCCAGAAGCTCATTGCTCTTAAAAGATCCTCATCAACCGCAGTATTCATAAACTTTTGAATACTTGCCCTGATCAGACATACAAGGAACTCAAACATTTCTGGTATCATTACTCACTTGCTGATTTCGTGTGCTTTTCCCTGGGAGCATTCCTGTATGCTGGCATTCTGTTCTAGTTTGTTGCATGGATGGAAGAGTAATGAAAGGGTAAGTTCTTGGTGGAGTTGGGAAATCTATTTTGGAAGGGGGTTGTTATCCTGCAGTGAGATGTTTTGAGTATAATCGTAGTGAGTTAAACTGGATGGAATTAGTGTCAGTATTTCTTACTTGTAATTATTAATAGATGACAAAAAGATTCTCAAATGCTAAATTAATTTAGTAACTTTTAATAGTAAAAAGAAATTTCTCCAGAGGCTAAAACTTCTAGTTACTGATTTCCTTTTCAGGAAGGAAGAGATCTGTATTAACTGCCATGTGAATGGAAAGTTTTAGCTGAGCAATCTTGTAGGTTATAACTTAACTGAATGTGAGATGTGTTTGTGGAGCACTGAGCATCTTCCTAATTTGTGGAGCCTGGTGCAGGGAGATCACCTTAAAAATGCTGATCTTCCATTTTGCACTGTATTCAGTACAGGAATTGGTGTGTCTGTCAGCAGCTGGCTGATGGAGGTAATAAAACTGAACAGCCTGGTAGTGTTACCTTTTTTCTTATCCTGCGCTCTGAATTGCGGTGATCTGCTTATCAAATGTGGTTAGAGGAGTTTCTGGAGTGTGAGCATAGCAGATTCAAATAGTTGCTCTAGAAACCATCTCTCCTTTGTGTGCAAAATCCACTAGACCTTTCTCTAGTACTGAAGAAAATGTAGTCCTGTATCCATTGTTTTCTGTCCTCAGCGTTTAATCTTGTGACAAGTGGGCTATTTGTTTACTGTGGATTGAATGTTTTGTAGATGCAGCTACTTTGCTGCTTTTGAGATCCTTCTGCAAACACAATCCACAATGCATCGTAAAATATGAAATGAAAATGGGAAAGAAAAAATGTTTGAAAGGACGAAATAAAGAAAAAGCAAAGCTAGTGAAGCTTTGTAATTATATTCTTAGTATTGATATTGATATTGATATTGAGAATACTGCAGGAAGGTGTTGTTTTACACTATGGTTCTGTATTTAGATCTGTTAATGGAAGGTTGCAGGCTGAGCATTGCTTGTTCCCAACTGCTTGCCAAACTTCCTGAAGAATTCTCTTTGTCATGCAAGCTTTCCCCTATGGCATGGTGCTTACACGCTGTACACGCCTCCGTTGCCGCATTAAGTAATATCATCTCTTGATTAAATCCAGGGTAACAACACGATTATTGGTGCTACTGGAATAAGTCATAAATGCATCAGAAATGCATCTGTTTTACCTCTGGATTTGGCATCTCCTGACTCATGTGTTAAGTTCTACACCTTTTTAATAGTGGTAGTATTTGCTGTTTTTGTGAGATCTGTAGATCATAGAATCAGTTACATATGGATGTGTAAAAACAAACAAAACTTGAGAGCAATGTTCAGGAACCTCATACTGGTGTGGACATGCTCTCTCCTGTTGAGTGGCTGGGTAGTGTTCCTTGTGTAAATGCCAGGAATACTGCTCTAAGGTCTGCAACAGTCTTTTCATATCATAGGATAGCTTGGGTTGGAAGGGACCTTGAAGATCATGGAATTCCAATCCCCTGCCAGAACAAAGTATGAAGAAAAAATAGTTCAGCATCAGTCTCACTGCTTGGAAGACCCATTTTTTTCTTGTACCGCTATATGGAGCAAGCTCATGTCTGAATAGTTTGAGGCAGTTTTGACTTTTTGGGTTGGTTCAATCTTTTGAAGGTGAGGAATAATAATAATAGGTTCTAAAGCTCTGAAAATCTGTAAGCTACAAAGTATTTAGCTGAATTTTACAAGTGGAGAGAGCAAGGCACAGAGCTCAAGTTTGAATTTATGTGAGACTGTGCAGTGGAGACCAGCCTTAAATTTCTGGAGCTTTAAGGCCAGTGTCTCAGGCAGCCTCAGGCTGCCTGTGTCTCATAGCAGGATGTTAGACTGCTAACCTTTTGGTAGAACTACCTCACCTCTGTGGGCTGCAGTCAAATGGTCCTGCACCCCAGGCAACCCCTGGCCTTTTCACTTGTTTGTTGAATGGCCTGAAAAACATTCCTTGCCAGGCAGTTTTAAAAAAAAAAAAAAAAAAAAAAAGTTTCCAACACAGTAAGCACAGCAGTCTTATCCCTGGCTTCTGCCCCCATGACTCATTCATCTTTATTTCCTAATTTTGTCTGTAATTACGTTAATTTTGTTTTGTTTTTAACAGCACATTGCCCATCTTATTGTACAGCGCCAGGTGGAAATGAAGCTCTTGGTTTTGCTGTGAGAGGAGTAGCTGGTTCTGTACCCACACTTCTGGACCTGACGTCTCTTAGCTCGTAATGATAAAGGTACTGTGTCTTATCCCTGTTGCCTACCTATTTATTTTAGAGGAGAGTTGATGTGCACCCATTCTGCAGTAAAATACAATCTTATTGTGATTTAATCAATGAAGGTGGGGTCCATGCTAAGTCCAGATATTGCTCTCTAAGCAGCTTTTCTGTCTGTGCAAAGGTCAGGATCTTCTCATTCCTGATATGAATTCTAATAGAGGATGAATATTTGTCCTTTCTAGTCTATTCTTTTCTGCTCCCAATGCTTTTCTCTTATATCTTAAGAAATTTGAAATGGAAGAAATGATTTGGTATAGTCATGTTTTCAAAACAAATATCATCTCACGGTAATCAGTGCCACTGAACAAAGCAGTCAGAAAAACAACAGTCCTGTCCCTTCTTAGTTGACACAAACATGCTGTCTGTAAGTTAGAACTAATGCAAAGTTAAGTAGGGCAGAAATAAGTTAAGGAACAGATAAATGCAAGAAACGGACTCTTCAGTGACTTCTGGAGATTCAGATGTCATCTTCTGTTACGTGGCTTCTGTGCCTTACAGTAGCTGTTATCAGTAGTTCAGGAAGTGAGCTGCTGAGATGCAGATAAAATGTAGTACTGCTGATAAGGAAGTGAAATGATTGAAATGCCTGGTGTAGTGCTAGATAAGATGGAATGCCTAGTATATCACAGAAGCAGAATTCTGGCAAGATCCAGTGAGGCTGTACAGCCTAGAAGTCTTTAGGCTACCTGGGTGACCACTGTACAATCAAAACAAAATGGGAACTTTATATCAAGAAAGCTCTCTGCACAGATCTCTTCGTTTAAGTATGGGAGGATTTTGTGTTTCTGATTACATCAAGAGGTTTACGGTAAGTATTTTGTTGCACCCCTAGTTTGAAAGTAAAAAGTGACTGGATGTGACAGTATTGGCTACTCTGCCTTCTGTAAAGTGCTGTGTGTTAGACATTCTTAGCCACTTTGTGCAGTCTTTTTGCTTGCAAAGCACCCACCGATGTTGAGGAGGTGCTTCTGAAATGAGTAGTGCAGGCTTTGCCTTACTAAAGAAATACATTTCTGTGAGAGCCTTGACGTGTTAAAACTTTTAATCCAAATGATGTGTTTGTATTATGGGATGCCAGACTGACATTCAGATTATATGGAGGTAAGTTGTTACAACTTTTTGCTTTAGTAATCATATATCTGAGAATTATAAGACAATTAATCTGTCAGGCAGGCCTACACAGGGCGATTTCATTAGGACCCAAATTCTGCGTCACGGCATTTAAGCTAATAGTAAAAGCAGTGCAGTCAACTGGAGTGCTGTGTGCTCAAGACCTCAAATATGTGTTCTGTGGTAGGATGTGAAAGTTTTGATATTGGAACACTACTGTGCTGAGATCTGAGGAAATGAAATGAATCTGGCTCCAAAAAAATACTGCTTATTGACAACCTACTAATGCTGCAAAAAGAGACAGATATAGAGACAGTACTCGTGGAACAGAGAATAGTGATCTACTTTTCCACCACTTTAAGCTATCCATCAAACGACAGTATTGAATGCTATCTGTAGAGCTAGGTTTTGGTTGCTATAGATGCAGGGAGTCTGGGGAAAACAATGCTTTTATTTTCTTCCACTTGCATGTTATTCTACTACTTTAAAATATTGAGCCTTTACCATCCAGACAGATGCAGGAACATGAACATAAGCAAACTTAAAAAGAATGCCATGTGATTCTGTGATAACAATGTTCAGTTATTTATTTTTTTTTTTAAGAAGCTACACTGTTGTGCAAAGCAAGCATTGTAACAGTTTTTGGGTTTTGTTTGCTTGCTTTTTGAAGAGGCCATTCTTTCAAAATTTTGAAGAAAGGATTGGCTCTTAGATCTTATTTGATAATGGCTTTAATGGACTTTAGTAAAGAGCTTATTTGTAATCATCTTCATTCCATAATGGGACATTAGACTGAGTGAACTAAATAACTTCTGGTACAGTTGGAGAAATGGACAGATTTTCTTCGAATTTCAACAGGTAGAATTTTGTTCCATTCTTCTAATGTAATGTTATGTAGTGAATCTAATATGGCCAACACTTCAATGTGATTTTTATCATATTGTTTGAATTTATTACATAAGAATTTATTACATGAGAAAATAGGATAGCTTAGAAGGCTAGATAAACATCATATGGAACGAGCTATTAATTTATTGTCTATTTATGGCAGCAGAACAGGAAAAAAGATGTATTAATTGAATGCACTAATCAGCTGTTCTTCATATTGAACAGATAATGTCGTATTTAAATTGCTGGTATTGAACTTCTTACCAAAGACGAGTCTTAAACTGAAATATGTGTTTGTGAATTTCTTTTAATTGCCCTTGTTTGGAACAATTTGTAGAATCAAGAAAATTTCTGGACAATTAATTTTTGCTTGTTCCTTGGAAATTAAATTAAAATGTATTCCAGGAGGGATTATAGGAATTGGCTTTAGAACCATCAAAGCAACTTATCCAGGGTTTTTTTTGGACTAGTCATGTTTCAGGAAAAAATGATCAATACTGCAGTTATCTGTTTATGTGCTGTTCTGTGGCTTAGCTCTCTGCAGCCCAGGATTAGTTACTTCTCAGTAACATGAAGGTTGTGCTGAGGTTCGGAATATCTAATTTCTCTGTAATTCTTCTGCTGGGTGACTGAGTAACACTTTCGTATTCAGTGGTTCAGTTTCTCTTTCTTTAGAACTGGAGATAATGATAATTCTCTTCTGAAAATGGGAAGGTCTAGAACTAGAAACTGTCTTAGATTTAGTTTGATTTTTATATTGGTTTTCCTTATCCTCAATGAGCACAGAATCAGAAGTCACTTGATTTTGGTTGTCTTGCATTGGATTATCGCAGACCATCATGCCAAACTCATTATGATTATCAATTGAAAAATTATTCTTTATGTTGTTCACAAAGCTAATCATTCACTTTTATGAAACAGTATGAAAGGAAAGATGCTTTTGAAGAATACGACCAGCAGAGAAGCACATAAGATCAAATAGTGTCTTGGACCATGCATGCAGCTTTTACTAAAATTGGTAAGAACTGCTTTAATCCAGAAACTTGCTATTAAGCATAGTGAGATCTCTCTTCTCCTGCATGGAGTAGGTTTGTAGGTTGGGTCTGAATCTGTTCCAGCAGGAGCTAGTGAGTGTATGTATTCATTTGATCTTACTAGTTGCAAATGGAACCTGTTGTTTGCTTGTTTGTTGTCTGTAGTCTCTCTCTGGCTTAGACTTGATTATCTGCTTGCTTGTGCTGAAGTGGCTGACTCAGTTGGTCCTGGTGTTACAGAAGGATTTGTAATGATAGTTAACTCTGAAAATTGTGATAGTAGTATTTGGAGATGGCTTGAAAACTTGTGTTATTGCTCAGGTTTACAGTGGAAGATGTTTCCTGTAGTTTATGCTTAAGCAGTAGGGCAGAGGATTTGGCTTATGAAATGAGTCAAACTTTTTGTTAGGATAGATGGCAAAAAGTGTATTCTAACAAGTTTAAGGACAAAGTTCCCTCTTGAAGATCTTTTGCACGTCTGATACGGATGCTGCATTCTATGTACATGGTTTATATAAACTTTCACCTAAAGGAATATGAGTGGCTTAATTGTGGGTAGTTGATTCACTGGGAAGAGTTTGTAAAACCACCAGCTTTTGTGCTCGAGTTCCCTTACTCTGAATCCTTTTTTGAAGCAGAGCTTGTCTTGAGGCTAAGCCTGAACTGATGTAGTTATTCCTGTGTTTGAATGACGTCAAACCAAAATGTCAGAGAGATCTGAATCAGCAGGTGAATATAGCACATAACAGACTTCATTATAGGAGAAATGACTATTCAGTTGGTCTTAAATTTCCTTACCGTGGTAGTCTGGTTATTACTGAAGAATGGCAATGTCAACAAGTGCTCATTTTAATAAGTGAGTAAATTGCTGTGCTAGGTTTCTGGTTTAGATTTTCACCAAAAACAACATTAAAAAAAAAACATTACTAGTAAGTGTCTTATTTTCAGCTGGGATGGAATTGTTTTCTTCAGAGAGTATGGTATGATGCTGTGTTTTGATTCTGGGAGGAAAACAGTGTTGACAGCACATTGATGTGTATAATGGCTGCTGAGCAGTGTTGTACAAATCTGAGGCCATTCTCAGGAAAGGGCCCAAGGAGCTGGGAGGGGAACAGAATTAGGAAAATTGATTTAAACTGGCTGTAGGGATATGATATCATATGATATCCATGTGAAGGAGTTTTGAAGGAAGTGGGAGTTCATCGCTCTCATTGTCTGCTCGAGGGCTACCTGGGCATCAGCCAGGGGGTGTTGAGCAATTGCTTGTGCGTCACTTGTTATATACATGTGTGAGCATTTGTATATATAGTCATAACTATTGTCCTTCTCTATATCTTAGTACATGTTTTTATCTCAATCCATGAGTTCTACTTCGTTGTTCTTCTGTTGGGTTGGTTTGTTTGTTTATTTTAGAAAGAGGATGGGAATGAGCGAACGACTGTGCATTGCTGAGCCATCTGCTGAGTTAAACCACAACAGTAAGGAGCACTGAGCACAGTACATGATGCTTGCTGTACTGCAATGGCAACTGTTGGATGGAAATATGATGGAGAGAAAGAATTCAGTAACTGAGACTTGAGATTGCACAAGATGTGAAACAAGTGCACTAGCTGCTTTTGGGAGAATTTTCCGAAAGTGTGTGTTGCAGTTCAAGTCCAGCCAAATGCTTTGTGGGCAGATTGTTGTAGGTGAAGTTGCCTCTGATGGGGCTGCTCACAAACACGATTCACTTCATTCCAGTGCAGTTTGATTTATGATGTGCTTGTGTGCTTTGCTTTTCCAACACTGAAACCAGTGAATGCAATGTGAAATTGTGCTCAAGGTGATCATGCTTCATTCAATAACCACGAAGGGCTACAGAGTGGCTGTGGAATCAGTATTACTGCATTTTAACTTTGGAAAAGCGAGTGTAGAAGCAAAAGAAAAAAGAAAAATCAGATACATTCTTGCAGCGGTCATCACTTGTGATATTGTTGAAGTTGAAGTTGGAAAAGATTATTGCAAGTTAACTAGTTAGTGCAGTATGTATGCATTGTATGCATTATATGCATTATTCTCATAATCTTTCAAATTTGAATTAAAAAAAAGAAATTTCCAAAGTAGGAAGGGAACAGAAGACAACAAGGCAGTGCCATTTGGTGGTTTCCATCTTTTCTAAAACAAGCATGCTACCTGTAGAGTAGAGACTTTGAGGGATGTGGCTGAAAGCCAATGCTATTCCAAGTCAGCCAGACTGTTTGTGATGATTTTACTGTGCTTTGGAGCAAATTCTGGGTTATGCATGGTCTTCCTCTGAAAAATTGTCTGTCTAGAAATAACCCTTTCTTGTGCAAGAGATCTGAGAGGCCTCATCTCATCACTCCAGTGGCAAGGATTTCCTTTTTGTGTTTTTATTCTTATTTGCCTTACTGTGCAACCAAGACTTTCTCTTATGCGTTGCAGTGGATCCCTGCTGACCTTAAATTACCTGTAACTGAACAAACTGCCATAGATACAACAGCTTCAGGTCAGTTTAAAAGATGTCTTACAGTTCTCTGCTGAGCTGCTAGTGTAGATGAGAAAGCATCTTGAAAATGAGAAGCAAAGCAGTTTAATAGTAGATGGCCTGAACCAGCAGGCTTTACTGAGAACTGACAGCATATGATGTAAAATCATTGAAATTCAGAGAAAGCAGAACCAGCAGCAGGACTTATCTATTCAGTTTCCAGAGATCTCTTTGATGAAGGTTGTGGAGGGATGGGAAACTTTACCCATGGCAGCCTTCTGGTCCAGGCTGGTAAATTGTTTTAGTAATTTTTTGGATAAGAAAGAAAAGAATGAAAATTAAAATCAGTGAGACGGCTTCTTAATGCAGTTTCTGTGGGCATCAGACTTGATGGTAAAAGAGGTCACAACTCAGGGACTGTTGAATAAATGTGAACAGGCAACAGGTGCTCTCTTGGCCTCATGAGAGGAAAGTAACCTGAAGGAAGAATGCAAGGGGTCTTGTTAAGCCATGTGGGTGAGTGATAAATACTGTTATCTAGAAATCTTGTTACTTTGATGTAAATTAAATGTCGTAATTATATCTGTTCAGCTATCTGCTGTCAGCTGCTTGACAGGGATGCATTAATATACTCTGCGTGATCTCAAGATCGTAAATGTGTCCTTAGCTGTGCCACTGCTTATGAGAGTTATGACTTACTGTGTTAACAGTTCTCTAAACATGCATAAAAAGGAAAAAAGAGTTCATATAATGGATGTTCATACTAAGTTGAGGTGATACTACAGTAAAGTTGAACTTCTGCCCGCTAGGCAGTATTTAAATGTGTCATGCTAGGGTCTGATGGGGAGACTGCTAGTGCTTTATAGACACTTGTACTGGGCAAGTGGATTTCAACCAACAACTGACATGAATAATATGTTAAATGTCAGGTTCTTGGCCTTTTAAAGGCGTTGTGGTCCAGTTCTTAGTTCATCACCAAACATGACAGATGGAGATCTTTTGTCTGATCACATCAGGAAACCAAACTATTTCACTGGACAGGCTTATCCAAACTGTATGGCATATTTTGACCTTGGAAGTTATTCCTTTATACTAAGTTGAAGCCTGTTTCAGTACTTGTCATTTGTCATGAAAATTGGTATCTTACTGAACCACTGCTCTGTGGATGTGATTTGCTGCTTTTCATGTGTCAAGGAAATTAACTGTTTGTGGGAAGTTACTGGTGTAGATCTTAATTTTGCAGAAGTTTATGTATCTTAAAGTCCAGCTAACTCATTTCCTCAGGGGAGAATTCAGTGTGTGTCCATGAGAAACAGCAACTAGATATGGGTTAAGGAGGTTTTCAGCATAACTTGAAAAAGTTGCCTGCTGGCCACTGAAGATGTAAAGGATATTTATTAATATTTTTTTTTTCCTGAGTAATATTCAGTAGCTGTAGCCAAATTTTGAATTTGCTGTCTTTTGCTTTTTTTATAGGGTCCTAATGTTTACCATATCTTGTTCTTCATCTTCTTAGAACTCTGAATTGCAGCCTTTTCAAGATTCTCCTCAAGTCCCTAAAGTCTCTATAAAGCTTTGGCTTTGTTTAGGCTTTTTAATTTTATTTTTTTTTTCATTTACCTGCATGTTTTTAGTCATCTCCAGTTATACTATGTTACTGGAAGCAATGCAATAATCTAATGAGATGATCTGTTTGAGCAGCTGGTTTTAACCTTTGTGACATTTCTTGTTTGGGATATAAGCCTCTGGTATTACTTTAGTACATGCTGTAGATTTTTTTTTTCCCCCCCCATTCACTTCATCTTTGTTCCTACTGCAAATGTTTTTTTTTTTTTTTTAAATTCCTTTGGATCAGAGATAGCAGAGAGGAATCATAGCTGAACTGCTGTATTGTAGATTTTTAAACCATTCGTTATGTTGAATGCAAATGTTTCTCTTGTCTCCTGACATCTGTCTTTGACAACTGGGAGTGTGTGTGGGACTGAAGCCAAAGTGGAATAAACTCTCATTTCCCTCTTGAGAATAGAAGATTCTTTGGCGTCATCAGTTGAAGGTCACTTGTAGTTCTGGTTCTCCAGAATTTGTGTTCCTTTCTTCATGCACTTCAGAAATACTTGATAGCCTGGAGATGTTTTAAAGATATCCTGAGATATTTTAAAGGTATCCCAGAAATTCAGTTCAGCTCTTGATAGGATGAAGGTAGCTGCCATCTTTTGTTCACTGGTTTCCTTCTTTCCTAATAATAGGAGAAAAAATTGTAAGAAGCTTTATTCGGAGTTTACATTCAGAGTGTGATGTGGCTTGCCGGTTTGCTTAGCTAGTGACAAAATGGGGTGTCTGAGCAGAGCTCTGCTATGTACAGTGTTCCTGTGTTAATTGCTGTTAGTTATTACTCGTAGAACATTTCACATTCTTCAGATGTAATTTGGAAAGTATAGGACATGAAACAATTTCTGTAGCAGTGTCTGAGTACAAAATGTCATTACATGCAGTAGGTTC